GAATGAACTACGCGTTTGAGGAACTAACCTCGCGAACGCGAAGAGATAACCATCAACCTCAGCTCAGACCCAACACTACGCAAACGTGTGCTCACCGCTGCGAACGCGATGCTCCATCTGCCACAAGCTACACGAACGCGGACCCATGTTCACGAACGCAATGAAGAAACAAACAACCTTAGGTCTTTCCCTTACGCGACCGCGTTGAACTCTCCGCGATCGCGATGAAGAGATAAGACACCAGATGCAGAATCATTCCAACACTGAAATCATAGGGAAAAATAGCCCGAAATCAATCTGAAACATGCCCGAGCCCCTCGGGACCCCGTCCAAACATACCGACAAGTCCCATAACATAACACGGACTTGCTCGAGGCCTCAAAACATACATAACAACATCGAAACGACGAATCACACCTCTAATTCCAAATCATTTAACTTTGAAATTTCAACTTCCATAACCGATGCCGAATCATATCAAATCACGTCCGAATGACCTGAAATTTTGCACACACGTCACAAATGACACAACGGACCTACTCTAATTTCCGGAATTCCATTCCGACCTCTATATCAATATTTCCACTGCCGACCGGAAAATGCGAAATTTCCAATTTCGCCAATTTAAGCTTAAATCTACTACGGGCCTCCAAAATACATTCCGGACGCGCTCCCAAGTCCAAAATCACCTAACGGAGCTAAACAAATCATAAAAATCCAAATCTGAGATCGAATACTAAGAAGTCAAAACTTGGTCAAACCTTTCAAATTTAAAGCTTCAAGCTGAGAATTGTTCTTCCAAATCTATTCCGATTATCCTGAAAACCAAAACCGACAATTTACATAAGTCATAATACATCATACGGGGCTAGTCATGCCCGAGAACTGGCGAGCGAAGTGCAAATGCTTAAAATGACCGATCGGGTCGTTACATAAACTAATGGAAACCAAACAAATAAACAATAGCAATGATTGACTAAACTAGTAACTCTCTGCTTCTTCTGTGTGCCGGGCAAGCCAGAAACTTTGATACCTCACCTAGATGGAATAGTTAACAAACTGCTTGTACTTCTACAGGTGTGCAAATATAGGCACCAAACACATACTGCAGCAGCACCATCTTGCCAACCACCTGTTCGATGCATCTAACACCTGATTTCGGTCGGAAAGCCTTGGACGGAAATCACCTGATTTCTAGTAGTGTCAACTGAACCCAGTATTTTCGACGAGGAGCATAAATTTATGAGTAAAAATCACTAAAATTGCAAGAAATAATAGACATGAACCCATAACTTTTAAAATATAATAGGTGCAATATAATGCCACAAATTTTAAAGGTTGAACCCACAAAATTTAAATTATGTATCTGCCTCTGCTGGCAATACACTAAATTTAAGCTGGATCCCATTTTCCTCTTTGGGAATGAATGTTTGAAGTTTTTAGAAACTAAACATCATAAATATTGGTGTCAGAATAGAATATGTGACTTCATTGATTATTCTACTTCAAAAGATCCTTATCCAATATTATGTGAGTTAAAGAAGAAATATTGACAAGTTTAGCTAACAAAGAAGTCAAATGGAACATCAGTTACCAAGAAGTCTTAACATGTAGAATACCTCTTATCCACATTGTATTTACATTTGCAACTAAACGTTTTAACAATCTTGTATTGTTTACTTTGAAATTAATGTTAATTTATTGCTTCTTGAATATTACTAGTACTAGTAATTGTTACTGTCCTTGAAATGATGTTAACTTTTAGTCCTTTTGTGTCCACTTTGCTAGCTTCACACTGCTCCCTTCGGTTCATAATAAGTAATTTTTTGGCCCTTTTTTGTGGTCCAAAATAAGTAGTTTTTTCAAATTTGAAGAATAAATTAATTATTTTTTTCCTACATTGCCCTTGGAGTAAATAATGTTGGAGTATGTGTTAGGAGTGTTTATGTGAAGAGATAGTAAAGGTTAATATGGTCAATTTCATTGCTGATTAATGTTAAAAGGTGAATTTTTTAATGTGTGTGAAACAACCAAAAAATCACTTATTTTGACCGGAGGGAGTAGCTACTAATATTAAAAGTGAGGGATAATTTATTAGAGTAACTTCCATTCATTAATGCCAACACAATGTTAGTGGTAACACACCAATTTATATATAGATATAAAGGAGGGAAATGGAAAAGTGAGGTGGCACATCTCTTTGGCCTTCGTTTACATTTATCTTTTTTCTAGGTTTTTTGGATTTTTAGCTTAATTTTAGTATAATTATTTAATTACTATTAAATCTGAATTATAGCCTACTTTATAGCTGCAATAATTTCTGTCATAAATGAAATAAGGGGAGGGGAATCGATGAAATTTTTTGGTAACGTAGCTGAGTAAATGTATGAGCTTTTGAAAAGTCACACAAACAATTGTATTTAGGCTTCAAATTTTCTCTAGAAGAGAAGAAGAAAATTTGTACAACTATGATTTATATATTTCCTCAACACAAACATGAAAATAAAGACACCAGGAGATAGGCGTGGAAAGAAGAAGATCTGTCGATCAGGCAACTCATTCATAAAGTCAAATGCGAGATCTGCATGTTTCTTTTCCTTATTTTTTTTTCTTTTGTTGCAGTTTACCTTTTTTTCCCCTCATTTTGACTAGAATCATATATCATGTTCTACATCGCAAGTGATTACTTCTGGTTTTCTGCATCTAATTTTTGTCGTTCTAGTTCGTAAGTACTGGCTACGCCTAATTGGTATGTTTTTAGAGAAGCGCTAAATATTACTTCCAGTTGAAGCAGTCCAATATGTAATATGTTGCTCTCCTTGAGGTTTGTGCGTTTTAAAGAAACTCTAAATATACTGCCTTTAGTAGCTCTACAATATTATATATACAACTTTTAACTTTCAAGTCATTTGTTGTTTTTATTTGTGTATTTAGATCATGGGTACTGTAATGGTCTTTTTTTTTTTGGTGAGAAAAATAATTTATTAAACATAAATATAGTAACTACAGAGGTCACTGTAGCGTTACAAGCATTTTGATAATATTTTTTAATTTTTATTTGTAGAGTAAAAAATACGATATAGACGTAATTTATACTTTGTTGGGTTTTATTAAGAGATTACTGGTCATTGAAGAATACAATTTATATCTAATCTATAGAGAGATAACATGACACTTATCCAAAACCAAAATGACAATTATTTTGTCATCACTTTTTTTTGTCATTTTTCTCTTATTTCGCTCAATGAGAAGTACAATAATTTTTATTCTTTTTGCTTCCTTACTCTGAAAATTAATCAAACTTGGTAAAATTTCTTTAACTAAAATTGAAGGAGGCAAATTAAAAGAGCAACCGTAGGAAAAAGAAAGACAAAGGAGAGAAAGAAGAAAATAATATTAGAGGAAGTATAAGATAGGAATAAAGAGAAAAAAAACAAGTAGAGGGAATTAATTCAAAGTTTTTTTTTTCTATTTTTAGTTTTTTCTACTTTTCATTTCATGTTTATTACTAGAAGTTTACTATTTAGAGAAAAAGAAAAATCAAATGCAGATAGAAATTCGTCTAACAAATTTATAATTAAACTAAGAATTATGTATTAAACCAACAAGTGCACACCTCACCCCCGCACAAAGTACAAATCTCCTTAAAAAAAAAATTTCCTATTACAGAAAATTTTTGACAATGAAAACTGCAATTATTGAGCTCAATTTCTAATTAGTGACTTCATCAATATATAGAATTATTTCTTAATTATATGCATACAAATAAATAAATACGATCTCTCCTATTTGGATTAATAATTAATTATTTCCAAATTTAATGATATTATTATAACCGCGCGCGGCCAAATTCTCTAGTATAGAATAAGTGATGTCTAATTTGTTAACTCTTATGCTCTATGACCAAGTTAACATAGTAACTACCGCTTGGCATAAACTTATTTATTAGAATATAGTTAAAATTTTCATTAACTTGTTATATGTACATTAATTTTGTTCCTATTTTAAGTTTTTTCACAAAGTATAATGGATTAAAGAAAAAATTCAAATTGGGCAGCATGTATATTAGGTCGTCGTATAGCTTGTTTGGCCAAACTTCTACCAGGTTAAAAGTACCTTTTTTCCTTTAAAAAAGTATTTTTTTTCCAAAGTTGAAGTGTTTTGCCAAACTTTGAGAAGAAACAAAACTTTTGGATTGAAGCATAAGCAGGTTTGAAGAACATAAAATAGTAGATTCTCCCAAACGTACTTTTTTTAAAAGTACTTTTGAGAAAAATATACTTAGAAACACTTTTTTAAAATTTGACCAAATATTAATTGCTACTCGACAAGTACTCTTTAAATTAATTAGCTAAACACAAACTGCTTCTCACCAAAAGTACTTTAAAAAAAAATACTTTTGATGAAAAATACTTCTCAAAATAAGCCGATTTTATAAGGTTGCTAAACAAGGCTAGTAATTTTTGCTTACTCTCAAAATTTGACTACCTGGAAAAAAAAAGATTTAGCAATTAATAAAATAGTAAACATTATAGGAAGCCAAAATTTAAATATATAGAAATATTATGTATTCCTTTATTTACCTAAATTTTAATGATTATAGTTATTTAATATTTGTACAAGTAAAATGTAAATTCTTAAAAATAATCGAAATACATATAAGTTCGTTAAAAAAAGGGTAAGACCAGGTAGTTTTCGCGAGCGAATTTAGCCTATAAATAATTTCCAAGGTTTTCATTTTCAAAAAGGAATTATATAAACAACAATTTCCAGAGGTTTCACTTTCACACGTTCCATCAAGATTCTTCCATCAACTTTTAAGTGTAAAGCTTTTCCTATTCAAATTGAAAAGTATACTTATTTCTCTTGTTCCTGAAAAGCTACCGACCCCTTGAGCCTCCTTCATCTCTCTCTGTCTCTATATGTACACATTTTGTGTATATATATATATATATATATATATATATATATATATATATATATATATATATGTGCTTATATATTTTTCTCCCTCTCTCTTTACTTGTTTGTGATCATGCTTTGATGACCTAACCCTCTCTTATTCTAACTATATATACCTTTTCCTCTTTCATACAAGCTTCTGTTTTTACAACCAAAAACAAAATTGTCGGTTTGAAACTTTTGGAGGAACCCCATTATTTGATGATTACTAGAAATTTGAAAGAGGGTTCAGCTCAAAAGCAAGAATTTTCAACATGAAAAGAGCAAAATTTGACTTGTTCATGTCACTGAGCCGGCAAAGATCGGTCCAAGTTTTGATTTTTATAGGCTTTTTATATGTAGTTTTGGTGGGTTTTGAAGTTCCTTTTGTTTTCAGAAATGGTTTCAGTTTAGTTTCTCAAGATGGTTTTGGTACAGGGCAGTTTTCTAAGTCTTTTGTGCTTGATAGCGAAGAGGAGTTAGCAGAAAAAAAGGCCCCAATTCGCCCTCTTTTTGATGTCCCGCTTCAGGTTCCCCCAATTCAATCATCAAAACCTGAAAGGAATATCAGAGAAATCAAGAATCCATTATCAAGTTTGGTTTTTGATGGTAGTTTTGTGAATATGACTAGTAAAGATGGGTTTTCTGGGATATTGAAGTCAGCAAAAGAGGCATTTGAAGTAGGTAGAAAGTTGTGGAAAGAGCTTGAATTGCATAAAAAAGAAGTGGGGTTTCTAGAAAGTAATAATAACAAGACAACAGAGGAATGTCCACATTCCATTTCAATGTCAGGTTTTGATTTTCAGGAGAAAGGGAAGAGAATGATGGTGTTGCCATGTGGGCTTACTCTTGGGTCACATGTAACTGTTGTAGGGAGGCCTAAAAGGGCCCACCAAGAGCATGATCCAAAGATATCATTGTTAAAGGAAGGTCAATTTTTGATGGTTTCACAGTTTATGATGGAGTTACAAGGGCTGAAGACAGTTGATGGAGAGGACCCACCAAGGATTCTTCATTTTAATCCAAGATTGAAGGGGGATTGGAGTGGGAAGCCTGTGATTGAGCAGAATACTTGTTATAGGATGCAGTGGGGCACAGCTCAAAGGTGTGAAGGGTGGAGGTCCAGGGATGATGAGGAGACTGGTGAGAATATGATTTTGGTTCTTTATTTATTTAGTAGTCTTTAAGATATATTCTGTTATTGAACTAGTTTAATCAATCGACTACGCCCCAATCCCGAACTAGTTGGACTTGGCTATATGGATCCTCTATATCCAAATATTTTGAAGATTCATGTAGCTGTCAACTTAATGCAGTTCTCCTCCTTTATTTAGGATTGCGACGAGTTAGGTGAAACTCGGATAGGCAATGTTGCTAGAAACTAGTTTAACTTGAAGGTTTGCTAGCTGGAAGAACTGTTTGATTTACTTATTGAAGTTTAAAATTTTGTTCTTTTTTTTGTTTTTGGGGGTTGGGAGTGGGTGGGGAGGAACATAAGTTTTTTTATAGTGCGTTGTCAAGCAATTGAATTAGTTTATCTGATTGAGTATAGAGCTTATTGCTTGATGAGGAGCATTTTGTGATGGATAAATTCCTCAGATCAATCACATAGTTGTTGGCAATGGGAGGAGAAAAAAACATGTGTAAATGCACCATCAGTTACATTTGCATTTGTTGTACTCCGCGCACAGAAATATATCATTTGTATTATGCGGTATGACATTCTTGGTAATGTCTTGGCTCTTCTGCAGTTGATGGCCAGGTAAAATGTGAAAAGTGGACTCGAGATGATGATGCTAATCATTCGGAGCAATCAAAGGCATCTTGGTGGTTAAACCGGATAGTAGGGCGAAAGAAGCCGGTCTCTTTTGATTGGCCATTCCCATTTTCAGTGGATAAGTTATTTGTACTAACTCTCAGTGCCGGCTTGGAGGGTTATCACATAAATGTTGATGGGAGGCATGTGACCTCATTTCCATATCGAACTGTGAGTATGCTACCACCTCTTGAATTTCATGCTGAACTGTTGAATTGGGCTAAAGAAAGTTCTTATTGATGCTTTTTAGGGATTTGCACTCGAAGATGCCACTGGTTTGTCATTGAATGGTGACGTTGATATCGATTCAGTCTTTGCTGCCTCCTTGCCTTCATCACATCCTAGTTTTGCTCCTCAAAGGCATCTTGATATGTCAAACAGATGGAAGGCACCGCCCCTCCTTGATCAACCTGTGGATCTGCTCATTGGTATTCTCTCTGCAGGCAATCATTTTGCTGAGCGAATGGCTATAAGGAGGTCTTGGATGCAGCATCGGCTAGTCAAATCTTCAAATGTTGTGGCTCGATTCTTCGTTGCACTGGTAGGTTGACAGATGGTCGCGTATGCAGCATAGTGCAAATATTGTTCACTATTAACATTCATGTTGCAGCTTGTTAATGTTGAGTTCAACATGGATTGGTTTTTTGACAGCACGGGAGAAAGGATATAAATGTGGAGTTGAAGAAAGAGGCAGAATTTTTCGGTGACATTGTCATTGTTCCTTACATGGACAATTATGATCTTGTTGTCTTGAAAACAGTTGCCATCTGTGAATATGGGGTAAGCTGTGGATTACCTATAAATGTTAACATTGGTAGTCCCAGATTAAAGTTGTCCCGAAAGTTAATTGTTTTTTGTGTCTTTGCTTGTTGCAGGTTCATGTAGCATTTGCAAAAAATATCATGAAATGCGATGATGATACATTTGTTAGAGTGGATGCAGTTATCAAGGAAGTAAATAAAATACCTGAGAATAGGAGCTTATATGTTGGAAATATCAATTACTATCATAAGCCCCTGCGTAATGGTAAATGGGCGGTGACATATGAGGTATTAGTTTGGATTTTTTAAAATTTTCTTGCTCCAATTTCTACATGGTATTAGAAGGCTAAATATTGTTGTTTTCTTTCGACGAAGTATTTTCTTGTGCTTCATAATCAAATAAAAGACTTCACATTGGCCAGTTGATAGTGTCTAATTAACATGCTTAGAGTAAGCGAGCCTATGGCAGAGAGATGCTTTTCTACTAGAATAGAGTAAAGGCTGTTTGGACAGGAATGTTTGAATTGCAGCAAATGCTACAGTGAATATTGCTAGTTATCTGCATGGAGTAAATCTGGGTGTTGTCTAGTTTTTTGCCTGCTTAATCTCCTTTCATTTTAGTCATTAATTATTCCACCTTCTAGAATCCCATGATATCTGATTTTCTCGTCTTAACTTGCTTCTCGGTCTTGGCTCAGGAATGGCCAGAAGAAGATTATCCACCTTATGCCAATGGACCGGGTTATGTTATTTCATCAGACATCGCAAACTTCATTGTCTCAGAGTTCGATAGACATAAGCTGAAGGTAGACAAAATTCCCGTTATCTCTTTCTGTATGCAAGAACTCGTGAAATAGCTAACAAGCTCCTTTATGTGCAGTTGTTCAAGATGGAGGATGTGAGCATGGGAATGTGGGTCGAGAAATTTAATAGCACACGACATGTGCAATATGTGCACAGCTTGAAGTTCTCACAAGCTGGATGTGTAGACGATTATTATAGCGCTCATTACCAGTCACCTAGACAGATGATTTGCATGTGGAACAAATTACAACAGCAAGGCCGGCCTCTATGCTGCAACATGAGATGACACTTAAGGATTTGAAGAAGAGAAGTGTATCTGAAAACTGACCAAGAAACAAGGATAGACAAGTTTTGCACTTAATAGAACCATGATCTGTATATTTTCTGGAGGACTCTGCTTTTTGATATAATAGGGAAATTCATTTATTGTTTTCTCTACCTTCCTTTTTTTTTTCTTTATCTTTTGTCTTTTAACACACATTTTGAACTTCATTTATGGATGGAATATTAAAAAAAGAGGGTGCAACAGAGAAATGTAACTACACAGTTTTGACAAAGACACTTTCTTTATTGATAAATTCCGGATCTTGTAGCAGCAATTAAAGGGCTTCGACTGAATTGGAATATGATGTCTCACCATCAAAATTAAAACAACTTTAGATACCCAGCTGTGGATGTAGCTTTTTGGTAGTTTCAAATAGTCGCTTACGCAAGATTCTACATAAAAAGGGGTTGGCTTATGAAATTCAAAAATAGTCGGATTACAAGTGGTCATTCAAAAATAGTCACAGTGTCAAAAGTAATTGAAATTTAGTCACTTTTCATATAAAGATAAATCTGAACGAAAACACTGTTTAAAATCCGGAAAATACTACTGGAATTCCAGCATAATATGCTGAAAGTTCATACAAAGGTGCTCCAATCTCCAGTATATTATGTTGGAACTTTCCGCGTGTTGGAGTTCCAGCATAATATGCTGGAAGTTCATACACAGGTGCACAATCTCCAGTATATTATGCTGGAACTTTTCGTGTTTCAGCAAAATAGTGGCTATTTTTCAATGACTTTGCTACGCTGACTATTTTTCAATGATCAATCCGAAAACTGGCTAGTATGTGCTATTTTTACCTTATTATCATAATTGACTTGCAAAATGGACTAGGGCTGTGGTGGGTTTTAAGGTTTTACTTGGTGTCTCAAATTAACATTTACTTTGGACCGTTTGGCCATAGATTTGGCGGCTTGTTTTGAAAAAAAATTGAAAACCATATTTGTTCATGAAATATGATTAGTTTTTGAAAAATAAAATAGAATTTTTTTTTCCAGGTTCCCAAAAACTGGTTTAGGATAGTTTTTGGGTAAAATATTTCCTTCCACTCACAAAACTTTAACATTTTTTCAAATAAAATGCATGTCAATGCACAATTTCAACTTTCAAAATTATTATTCAACACAAAATTTAAAAAACTCATTTTTCAAGTTTCAACCAAATCTATATCCAAATGCTTACTTTATATTAGATTTAAGCGACTCGGCTTGTCATGGAGTAATATTTTAATTATTATATTTTTTTTAAAATACTATTAACGCACATTTACATAAGGAAAAAATTGTGAATTTCTTTTCTTTTAGAAAACTTTCCTACGAACATCCACATTTTAAGGGGATCAAAATAGTGCAGGTGTATACATGGAAATCCTAGAAGCTAAGGGGATCAAAATATATCTTGGCTTTTTAATGACATATCTTGTTTGCAATTTCACAAGTTTTAGTCATGTCACCAACAGTGGCGGAGGTAGGATTACGGCCAAGGGGTTCAAAAAAAGGAAAAAGTTAAAATGGTTGTAGTTAGTGGGAATAGAACCAATGACCTTACAAAAGTTTTGAACCCCCTAGACCACTTAGCTATGCTTTTGGGTTGTGTCAAAGGGATTCAAAACATAATATATAGACGTAAAAAACAAATTTTGCCTTACATATACAGTGTAATTTCTCGGCGAAGGGGTCGGGTGAACACCCTTCCGCCCCCTAAATCCGCCCCCAGTCACCAAACTTATCTTGCATGCGTGAAGAGGGGCAGCGCTAGGGGTTGGAAGGGGTTTATCTGAACTCTCTTTGTCGGAAAATTATGCAAGAGTAAAGTTTTTATGTGTATATTTCAGATGTTGAATCTCCTTCACTTCTTTTATTTTTTGAATTCCATGTGAAAATCCTGCCTCCGTCGTGTCTCCCAGCACGAAGCAACTATCCTTGTGAGAATTTTTGCGTTTGTAGGAAAGACCCTAACAGCTAGCGCTCATTTGAATATGATAAATCTTTCTCATTGCAATTATTCTGTTAAATACATTCCAGCAAGATATTGCTACGAGGATAAAGGGGAGTCTTGGCGTAACCGGTAAAGTTGTTGCTGTGACCAGGAGGTCACGGGTTCAAACCGTGGAAACGTACAATAGATCCTTATGGTCCGGCCCTTCTCCGGATCCTGCGCATAGCAGAAGCTTAGTGTGCCTTTCTTTATATTGCTCTGAGGGACATTGGTTCTGCTATATCCGTCCATTTCTTTAAAGAATCCCCTTGGACCGACGATAATTTAGAGTGCATATGCTTAAGCCACAATCTTGAACTATATGATCAACAAAAGACGTTGATCATAATCGCCGTCTAAGAGAAACAAATCGCTTTATTTTACAAGAATCGTCTATTGAGAAGCCTCTATATCTCTCTGTACATGAAAGTGTTTTTAGGACCATTGCTAAAACCAAGTGGATAGCATCAACATAAACGACAGGAACATGAGTACCAAGTTATTGTATGAACATGTTAACATGATTGCTGCTGAAGGAGGGGAAGCAGCAGCAGGACCAGCTGGGATATCAACAACAGCAGAAGAATCTTCCTTTACACAAGTGTATTTACAGCGACTCGGACGAACGGCCCTGTAAACTCCACTACTTGCAAGGACATACATATCCTTGTTGTTATCCTCACCATATGAAAAAATGTAGCCCAAAGATGGAACTGAGCTACCAGGAACAAAGGTACAATCTATTGGTGATTTCTGAGCACAGTTGAAAGATATTTGAGTGGTGTTAAATATTCCACTGTCCTCTGGATTTTCAGTGCCTGCCCACATGGAACCTGCATACAGATCCGCAAAAATATACCTGCAAAATTTCATCTGTCATTACCATTATAAGATATCCTCGAAATACACTAGTTTGTAGGGGTGGAACCATGGTGAGCGGAAGTGTTAAAAAGGGGACGAGTAGAGCTAAAATCACATAGAATAGAGTTGTCTCGAGAGACCTATAATCTCTTGGAACTCATGCAGACCTAGCAAAAAATAGGGCACGATGGAAGAAATATATATATA